GCCAACACACACAAGATATGAGCCCAACACACAGAGGACATGAGACTGACACACAGAGGACATGAGACCAACACACAGAACATGAGAATAATACACACAGAACACGAGACAAACACACACAGAACATGAGACCAATGCACACAGGAGACCAAACACATACAGGACATGAGACCAACACACAGGACAGGAGACCAACACACACAGTACAGAAGATTAACATACAGAGGACATGAGACCAACACACACAGGACATGAGACCAACACACACAGGACAGGAGACCGACACACAGGACATGAGATTAATGCACAGGACATGAGATTAACACACACACTGGACACGAGATTAACACACAGAGAGAACACGAGATGAACACACTTAGGATATGAGAACACACACAGAACGTGAGCTTAACACACACAGGGTACTGCTATACACAGGATCAAGAGACCAACACACACAGCTGTATCTATATCCAAAAACAATTAACAATCTGAAAAAGAAAACTCAGAAAATACCTTTCTAATGACATCAAAAAGAGTAAAAGAATTCATCAAAGATGGGAAGACGTGTGACTGAAAGACTGAAATACGGCTGCAAGAAGATAGAGAAGACCAAGAAAACAGAAAGGAGTCTGTGCTTGTGGACTGGAAGACAAACACTGCTGCAAGGGCGAAGCCCAAACCTCCCCAGACCCAGTGCTCACACCTCCCCAGACCCAGTGCTCACACCTCCCCTGACCCAGTGCTCACACCTCCCCGACCCAGTGCTCACACCTCCCCTGACCCAGTGCTCACACCTCCCCAGACCCAGTGCTCACACCTCCCCTGACCCAGTGCTCACACCTCCCCAGACCCAGTGCTCACACCTCCCCTGACCCAGTGCTCACACCTCCCCTGACCCAGTGCTCACACCTCCCCAGACCCAGTGCTCACACCTCCCCTGACCCAGTGCTCACACCTCCCCAGACCCAGTGCTCACACCTCCCCTGACCCAGTGCTCACACCTCCTCTGACCCAGTGCTCACACCTCCCCAGACCCAGTGCTCACACCTCCCCTGACCCAGTGCTCACGCCTCCTCTGACCCAGTGCTCACACCTCCCCTGACCCAGTGCTCACACCTCCCCAGACCCAGTGCTCACACCTCCCCTGACCCAGTGCTCACACCTCCTCTGACCCAGTGCTCACACCTCCCCAGACCCAGTGCTCACACCTCCCCTGACCCAGTGCTCACACCTCCTCTGACCCAGTGCTCACACCTCCCCAACCCAGTGCTCAAAACTCCCCTGACCCAGTGCTCACACCTCCCCTGACCCAGTGCTCACACCTCCCCTGACCCAGTGCTCACACCTCCTCTGACCCAGTGCTCACACCTCCCCAACCCAGTGCTCACACCTCCCCTGACCCAGTGCTCACACCTCCCCAGACCCAGTGCTCACACCTCCCCTGACCCACTGCTCACACCTCCCCTGACCCAGTGCTCACACCTCCCCTGACCCAGTGCTCACACCTCCCCAGACCCAGTGCTCACACCTCCCCTGACCCAGTGCTCACACCTCCCCAGACCCAGTGCTCACACCTCCCCTGACCCAGTGCTCACACCTCCCCAGACAATACTCAAAACCTCTACAGAAAAAAAATACTCAGATCATCTACAAGTGCAGTACCCAAACCATCCATAGATCAGATACTCAAACCAGGCATGCCGCATGTGATCTTTGTGGCTGTCAGCCCACGTGGCTGTGACAAGTTCTGTGTGCATCCCCTGGGAGACAGTCTGGGGCTACGCACGCACCTCTGGGACACCTCGGAGAGCTTCCCTGGTGTCAGCTCTGCCTTTCCTGCGGTCCCCCACCCGCTGTGTGCACCACAGTGTCCCCCATGTCGGGGACGCCAGTGCATGGTGCCTGGCACCTTTCCTGGCAGTCACTAGTCCTGGCAGAATGTCCATGCTGTGCACAGCAGAGTTGACCAGAACCTGGCTGTGGGACAGCAGTCAGTCTGGGGAGAGCAATGAAGCCATCTCCCGGTGGGGTTGCTGGCAGGGCCGGGCTGGCGCCTGAGGATGGAGCCTCCAGAGGTGTCCGGAGGACGGCCTGAGGGTGGCCCTTCAGCCGGCAGGGACCTGAGCAGCTGCTGATGTAGAGAAACGGCGCGGTGTGAGCAGGAGGGAAAGCTCAGAGCCACGGCCAGGTGCGCATCCCAGCCCACAGCTCACTGCCAGGCACCAGGCTGCACAGCCTTGGCAGGGAGGAGCCCGCAGGAGACTGGGCGCGCAGGTCCCCGACTTCCTACACAGAAGTCCCACACACATGGGGACCTGCGATCAGGAGCGCCCGGATCGGTGTTGCCACAGCAACCAGCAACCACAAACCACAAACCACAGCGCGCCAGCGAGGGCTCCAGGTTCAGACACCCGCAGCCGGCCTGGGCCGGGCCTCCGTGGAGTCCTCTCCACTCCTGGACTCCAGCCCCACAGAGGGCTCCTGCAGTGCCAGCCCCTCTGCCTACCAGGTTCTCTCGTGGAGAGAGCACCGCCCAGGTTAAGCTGGCACTCACGCAGGTCTGCAGCGGTCCATCGCTGTGAGGCCAAACTTTAGGCAGCTGCATTTTCCTCCACCTCTCTCTGAAGTGGGCTTGATTTCCCCAAAGCCAAGCAGAGGTGAGTGTGGGGAGGGCCGGCCGTGCCCAGGGTGGCCTTCGGGGAAGTGAGGCTTCCTCAGAGCACGGGCAGCCCTGGGGGATCCCCTGAGTGCACAGGCGTCGGTACCCCACTGCTCGGACGCCATGTTTACCACTGCACACCAGGGCTGGGCCAGGGACACAGCCTCGCGGACCAGAGAGGGGCACTGAGCTTCTGGGGCCTGAGACTGGCAGCTGCCCCAGGGGCTGGCGATGGCCCGGCGTGACCGCGGGTGCAGCCAGCAGTGCCTGTGGTCTGTCTGTGGAGTGAGTCCTGTCTGGGGGTGTTAGGGTTCCATCTGTAGGGTGAGCCCCGCTATGGGGTGAGTCTTGCCTGGGGGTGTAGGGGTCCCATCTGTGGTCTGAGTTCCATCTGGGGTATTGGGGTTCTGTCTGTGGGGTGAGTCCCATTTGAGGGTGTAGGGGTTCCACCAATGTTCTGAGTTCCATCTGGGGGTGTTGGGGTCCCGTCTGGGGGGTGAGTTCCATCTGGGGGTGTTGGGGTCCCGTCTGGGGGGTGAGTTCCATCTGGGGGTGTTGGGGTCCCGTCTGGGGGGTGAGTTCTGTCTGGGGGTGTTGGGGTCCTGTCCATGGTCTGAGTTCCGTCGGGGAGTGAGTTCCGTCTGGGGGTGTTGGGGACCTGTCTGGGGGGTGAGTCCCGTGTGCAGGGTTCTGTTGGATCTGTCAGGCTCTGTGCTCCGTGCCGTTCTTTGAGCCCAGGAACCAAATCTCTGCTGATGTCACTGCACAGATATGAGCTCTGGAAATGCGGGCAGGGATTCAGGCTCAGGGGCGCCCCCTGCAGGGCGGATGGGAAGAGATTGTGGAGGAGGTGGGCCGGGTGGTGGCGCCAGGGTGTGGAGGGTGCCCCGCGGGCAGAGCCGGAGAAGCTTCCTTCTGCTTGTTCACCGAGATAGCCTGGAAGTTGCAGGCCTCGTGCAGTTTCCAGAGGGAGCGGCACGGGGCGCAGGGCCCCCACGAGCTGGAAGCTGATCCCCGGCCGCCCGTCCGGAGGCCGCGCACCTGCTGAAATCTGCACGCTGAGCCCTGGGCAGCCCTGGGGGTGGGGAAGCCGGGGAGATGGAGCTCAGGGGTGTGGCTGGAGCTGCGGCACCACCGGTCCCCTCAGAGCAGGGCCCGCTGGTCAGCGAGGCCACTGCCTGCTGGGAGCTGCTCCTGCCCGGCCCCGGGCCCCTGGCTGCCCTTCTCGGAGCTCGCTTGGAAGACAGGGGAGAGAGAAACAGGAGACTCCTCGGCTTCCGGCTTCCGCCTCACTCTTCAATCAATTACAGGAGAGGAAATGCATTTTGAAAGTGATTTCCAGACCCAGGGGACCTGGCAGGAGTGGCAAGATAATGAAACGCTGCCTCCTGGGTCCCGGTGAGCAGCAGAGGCCCCAGGCCGGCTGCTGAGGGGCAGTGAGTCGGCCTGGGGCCAGAAGTCCCGGGTGGGGATCGGCCTCATTCCCGGAGAGGTGCAGCCATGCCCCAGCTTCCCATGGCATGAGATATACCGGCCGCCGCGAGGCCGCCTCCAAACGCAGAGCCAGTGACAGCCGGGGAGGCGGCAATCGCCTCCCTCCACCACGCAAACCGTCTCCCGCCACCCCCGGGAGCCCAGGGCCAGGGCGGTGCTGGGCTCGTGTGGCCAGGACGGCGCTGCGGGGGTCCCTGTGGGGACGCTCAGCAGGTGGCTGCAGGCGTCAGCTACAGGCCCAGACGCTCGCGCGCTGCTCCTGGGAGCCCCGTTTCCTGGGTGAAGTGAGGAATTTCTGCTCCCCCAGTCAGGCCCCGCCCCCTGGCGTCTCCCCCTGCTGGGGGAGCTCCCTGCTGAGGTTCCTCCCTGGGAGTGTCCCCCTGCCCCACCCCCATCCCCCACACAACCTCATTCCTACCATGGCCACGGTGAATGCCTTCAACCCGAGGGCAACCAGCCAGCGGGGGCCCCTCCCAGTCCACCTGCCCCCATCTCCTGTCACCTACAGATGAGTGCAGGAGCCGAGGCCTCTGTGTCACCGAGAGGAGCTACGACCCCAGAGCTCCGTCCAGCCCTGTCCAGCCCCGGCCAGCCCCGTGCGACCCCGTTCCACCAGGAGCCCTCCTCCAGCCCCACCCTCCACCCCATCACACAGCAGCCCCACATTTGAGCTGCCCCGGGGTGTTTGCCAAGACCACTGGCTGCGTCGGGGGTGCGGTGGGCTATGTTGGGATGCAGCAGGGTAAGGCGGGGTGCAGTGGGGACGCAGCAAGGGTGTATGGGGATGTGCCGGGAGTGTGGGGGGAGTGCGTCAGGGGCTGCCGTGCACAGGAGCGCTTGGTACCTGAGCAGGGGCTGCTGGGCGTCCGGCCGGTCTGCGCCGGGGCACGGTGGGGCCTTCTTGTTCACCTGCTTGTAGATGTCCCTCGCGGTCACTAGGATCCACAGCGAGCTGGACAGCGTGGAATAGTGCAGCGCGATGCCCACCTGGAAGGGGACGGTGTTAGTCCACAGCCCCTTTGTGTCTCCAGGAGACCGGAACTGAGGCTGGCAAGGAACCCCTCGGGGTCCTGGAGCCTCAGGGAGACACATGGGCTGCAAGGACGTTGGGGCCACCTGAGCCTGGTCCCCTGCAGCACCTGCGCCTCCTGCAACAGGGCTGGGGGCTCAGGCCCCACACAGGAGTCCACCAGCGAAGGGGGGTGCATTTGCACAGCAGGTGGCCACCCCATATGCTGCTGTCTGTGGCCCTGCACGTGGGATAGGAATGTCGTGGGGGCAGAGTTCCTGGTTGCTATGGAGACAGACGCTGCGGTCTTGCAAGCAGCCAGCATTCTGGAGCTGTCACCACCAAGAGTCCATGCTCAGGGTTGCCTTTGGAGCCACAGCCTGACACTTCCAGGTGACAGGGAGATGGCGCTGTGACTGGGGAGACCACGACCACTGAGGAGTTCAGAGCCTGAGCAGAGCTAACACAGCATTGGTGTGGCCGCGGATCAAGCCCGGACTCAGCTGCTGCGCCACAGCGAACTCTGCAGTGGTGAGAGACCTTCGCACGCATGTGCGTGTGTGCGTGTGCGCATGCGTGTGTGTTGTTAGAAAGCTCCCAGGGCTCTGGGGAGGGCTCCAGATGAGCCCTGGGCGTGGCTGCCGTGGAAGACACCTTAAGCCTGGCTGTTCTGCCTCCCCAACCACTCGAGTTGGAGGCTCTGGGTGCTGAGGCGGGACCTCAGCCTCCGAGGGGGCGGGGCGGGGCAGGCCAGCCCTTAGGAAGTGGCAGAGTGGCTGTCATCCTTGTGTGTAAACAGAACCATGGGGCCTATCCTGAGGATGACCCTGGCTGAGGGGGAGGGGGAAAGGAGGGAGGGAGGGGGAGCGGCTGTGCTCATGGCCTCCTGGGCTGAGCCTGGCCCAGGCTGTGAGCTGGGGATTTCAGGAGAAATTTCAGGGGGCCGTGGGGACGCTGCATGTGCACCCGGATCCAGCGCCGATGCAGTCACTGTGGCACCGTCGGCACCTCGTGTCTGTTAATGACGTCACTCTGTGTTGCCGTAACAACCGCCTCTCTGCAGCCTGCTTCCGGCTGGCCCTGGGTGGTGGCCCTGGTGAGGGAGGAGGATGCTGGACAGCTAGGCTGGCCCTCAGAGCGAGCTCAGGCAGGAGGTGGGCGTGGCTGCCCACAGGTGCGGGCAGGTCTGGCCTCCAGCACTCGGACTTGCCCCCTCCCTGTCCTCTCCAGCAGGCAGTGGGTGGAGCCCAGAGACTGGGCGTGCTGCGTGAGGTTGCCAGCATGGACCAGCAGGGCCCTGAGTGAGAGCCAGGGCTGGGGATGGCAGGGACAGGGTTGCCGCGAGGGCCTTGGCGATGTCTGTGGAGCTGCAGCCGCTTCTCGCCCTGCCCCTGCTCGGCCTCCTGCAGCTGGGACCTCCTGATGCAGCCCTGTGCCCTGGGGCTTGTTTGTAGCTGTTCCCAGCCCTGCCGCTCAGCCTGGCACCTTGCAGGCCATGATGCTGTCTGCCATGGAGTAGGGGTCTTGCTGCCTTCTGGAAATGTAGTCGGGGGTCAGGCCGGCACCGGACGAGGCCATCATTTCTCTTCCCAGCACCCAGAGGCCCTTGTCTTCCAGCCGGGCGCCAGGGGCCCTCCCACCAGACCTGCCACTGCCCTGCCTTGGCATCCCCTCGCTGGCCAGCCCCCAGGGGCCCCCTGGAAGTCCAGCTGTCTGATCTTGGGGACCCCGGGGCCCAGCCTGCAGCGTGCTGGGCCAGCTTCTCCGGGGGCGGGGGTGGGACAGGACTCCCCGGACTTTCCAGGGCAGCCAGGGCGGTGATGGGCGAGGTGCAGGTGTGACTGCCCTGGGCCCCCTTCAGCCTTCAGCCAAGCACTGGGCCCAGGGTTGCTGGCGTGTGCAGCCACAGACGAGGGGGCTTCTCAGGCTGCCGACCCCCAGCCTCAAATCAGACAAGTGGTAGGAAGGGACAGGGCCTGCCCTGAGCAGCTGGCGGAGCTCAGGGCCTGGGCAGGTGAGCGTGGGGAGTCTCACGTCCCAGGCCCCCGGACGCAGCTCCAGCGTTCAGGTCCCAGGGGCTGCGTGGAAGTCACTTCGCAGCCAACCACGAATGCAGCTGGTTTACAGGAGAGAGGGAGCAGAGACAGCCGTGCGAGCACCTGGGGACGCCAGGCTGACAGCAGCTGTCTCTGAAGTGACAGGAGCCACAGGTGACCTAGGCAAGTGGCCCTGTGGCTCACAGGGTGCCCCCCGCTGGGCCTGCTCCACTGGGGCTCGGGCTGGGCTCGGCTGTGGGGGCAGGGTTTCCACAGTGACTGCTGCCGGAGCCCAGCGGTGGTTTGCACGCTCCCTTTGAACACCAGTCAGCGCAGCACGGGAGGAAGGCGTGTGCTTCGCCACGGGGGTTCCAAGGCCGCTCCCCTGGGACTGAGCAGGTTCCTCTGAGTGCCCCCCGCCAGGGAGCACCTGCGTGACTTGGGCTACCTGCTGACCGAGAGCCTCGTCCCGGCGCCGAGGCTGGGGTTGGCTCCTGCCCCACCTGCCCCAGGAGAGGCCAGGTGCTCCTGGGAAGGGCACTGTCCTTGGGCAGGAGGTTCCTGCTGGCCGCCGTCACTGTGGGCCCCAGAGCAAGCCAGCCCACGGAGAAACGGCAGTTTCATAGCAACGTACGCGGGAGGCACAGAGCCGCCGCTGGAAGCTGTGCCACGACCGAGGTGCCTGGGCGAGCCGGCAGCGAGCCCCTCCCCGGCCCTGGGGCCCTGCGGCACTCACCGCCTGGCACAGGACCGGGTGCTTGGTGCGGTTGATGCCGCCAGCGAACACGGTGAAGGTCAGGGCCGTGTGGAAGCAGAAGTTCAGCAGTGCGTGCCGGGCTCTCCGGCTGATCCGGATCTCACTGTGGGAACGGGGCTTCGTTAGGAGCTGGCGTTTCGGGGAGGCCCGGCAAATGAGCCCTGGTGTCTGAAGCCTGCTCCGTCCACAGTGGGCACCGCAGCCCTCGACGGGCCAGGGGTGACCACCGCAAACGCCCCAACCCTGCTGGAAGCGTCAGGGGATCCTGGCCAAGCCGGCGGGGCCCCGGCTCCAGGACCTGGCCTCGCATCCCAGAGCAGGTGTCTGACGGGGGACGGCAGGGCTGTGCCCAGGATGAGGGCAGGGCCTGTGGCCGTGGGCACGGCTAAGGCTCCGCCTGCCTGGCCATGAGCAGGACAGATCGCTTTGCTTATGAATTGCACGGTGACGGCAGCCATGGCCTCAAACATCCCTGAACTTCCACCCGCGACGGCGGCCGAGGCCGAGGTGCTGCCCTAGGCTGGACGCGGAGCACTGCAGGGACCGGCGCCCTGGGGTCACCCCTGCTCCCCAGAGGGGGCCGAGAGACAAGCTCAGAGGCAGGAGGCCGAGCAGCGTGTGGGGGCAGGGGGGACGCAGCGTGTGGGGGCGGGGGGCGGAGCGGGCCCCTGGCAGCCTCACCTCTGGTGCAGGATGTAGGTGAGGACGGAGGCGCAGAGGCACAACAGCATGACCGCGGTGCACGCGTACACCACGGGGTGCAGGAACTCCCCTGGGTACTGGGGCAGGGACAGCACAGCCTTCAAATCCTGCAGAGAAGCAGAGACCCCGTCACCGGTGTGTGCGCGCGGGCAGGCCCTGAGACAGCTCAAGGTGCTTGTGGCTTTAGGGTCTTGGAGAAACAGACGCGTCCAGGGCTGCAGACGGAGAGAGACCCTGCTCCAGGAGCCGCGGCCCCCTGAGGGCTTGGTCCTCCCCACGCCCTGGTCTGTCTGGTCGAGGGCATCTTTCCCTGGTGCCCGGCGCCTGCAGGGCAGGGTCTGGTGGCCCTCAGGGCCTTGCGGAGGCAGCACCCCGCCCAGCTCTGGGAACCTCACGCCTGTGGGCTGTCTCCAGCTGTCTCCAGCTCCAGCAGTCTGCGCTGCACGGGCTCTCCCTGGTGGAGAAATGGCTGCTGGGAGCCCAGGGCCTCACCCCCGTTTCCGGAAGTCACCAACTCCACTGCATCGTGGCCAAAGGGTCAGAGTCAGGGTCAGAGACAGGCGCATTCCCCAGGGGCAGAGAGGCCACCGTGGGCGGGGCCGGGCGTCTGCCCAGGGCCTGGGTTCCAGTGCGGCTCTGCTCACACCTGGGAGACGGCAGGCTAGCTCAGTCTTGGGTCCCTCCAGGCCCAGCTGCCATTGTGGGTGCTTGGGGTGCTAGCTGGTGGAGGGGAGACCTCTTTGTCTCTCAGTGTCTTTCAAAAAAATGGAAAACAGCCCTCTCCCTGCCAGGCGAGGAGTGTCCCCGGTTTGGAGCTGTCTATGAGCGGGGTGGGGTTTGCTGTGGCCGCCACCCTGCATCCCTGCATCCTGACACGCTGGGTGTGGACAGTGCGGGGAGCGTCCGGCGGACAGCGCAGGATGGCGCTCGCTCGGACACGTGCCAGCACCCTGTGAGGGCATGAGCTCGGGGCCGAAGATGCCAGAGAGGCCTCCTGGGGCCAGGGGCTCAGGTGCGAGCGAGCGCCCTCCACGGGCACCGGGCTCCTGTCCACCCCTCCTGGCCTAGGGAGGCCACCCACGCTCGGCCCGTCTCTGCCTTGGCCGAGGAAGGAAGCCCTACCTTGGCTGTCACCCTCACCCCCGGAAGCCCCAGCCACAAGTGTGCGGGCTGAGAGGCCCCTGCTGGGCGGGCGCCGTGGCCCGCGAGCACAGGAGAGATGGGTGTCAGGTGTGAGTGAGGCTGGGCGACCACGGCTGGGCCGTGTGCTCCGGGCAGGTGCTGAGCCCCAGCGGGAAGACGGGCACCTCGGCTCAGCTCCACCATCTGCGCAGATGCCCCGAGGAGCCAGGGCCTGCAGCTGAGGGCCCCTGCCCGCGGCGTCGTGCGCTTCCCTGCGGGGGATGGGCCAGTGCTGGTCCCAGCTCTATCTGGGTCCTGACGTCCCGAGCATCTGCCACTGAGTGATGGTGGGAGGGGCCTGGTGGCCCTGGTGAGTGCCAGGCCCGCTGTGCCGTTTGTCACGGCAGCAGCTTCCTGACAAAGGCACACGATGACAGAGGCCGGGAAGAGCGAGTTTTCTAGCCGGACCTTGGCGCCAAGGTGTCCACTGGGGCCCCTGCTGCTGGGGGTGGGGGGCCGAGGCTGCACCGGGCCTGGCAGTGTCCCCGAGTCTTGTCTACGTGGTTGCTTTTGTGGGCATCGGCCGCTTTTCCTCCATTAGTGCTGGATCTGAAAAGGACCCAGCCTCCACTGAGATGCCACTGGGCCACTTGTGCTGGCTAGGCGAGGGCCACCAAGGGTGGGCCGTCCTGTGTCCGCTTCTCTGGCTCCATTGGGCCCAGGGCCTCGGTGGGGAGCCTGCGGCTGGGTCTGCCCCTCAGGGGGCTTGCAGGTCTGCTGCTGTCCCTGGAGTGGCCGTGCCGCAGTGAACACAGGGGGAGCCTGAAGACCCTCCCCGCCACATAGAGTCCGGCTTGCTGGGGGTGGTGGCAGTGGCCGAGGGCTCCCATGGGAGTCTCGCCTGCCTCAGGCTTTTGTCCATACTCTCCAACCTCTCTGGGGAACCCAAACTGTGAACCGGGAGCAGCCCCAGAGAGAGACGCAAGGCAGCTTCTGGAAATGCGACCCGGACAGCTCCACAGCCCGTGGCCGGCGGTGGGTGCCTCGGGGCGGGGCTGCTCCTCTGGGAGGCGGGCGCAGAGGAGGAAGGGCCAGGGTCAGGGCGTCACCTGCGCAAGGACAAACCATCAGCAGGCCCAGCGTCCCCCCGTCGGGTTGGCCAGGACCCCCGGCGCCTTCCAGCGGAGTTCGGGGCGTCATTCGGGAAGCAAGCACTCCAAGTGTTTCCTTCTCCACGTTGGAGTCGTCCCAGGGCCCCTGGCCGTCTCCAGAGGTGACGGCTGACGGGCAAAGTCGGCAATGAGACAAAGGCAACAGGTGCGAGCCCCGGGGAAGCAGGGGGCTCTCAGTGAGGGGGTGCGGCTGTCACGGGAGGCCACAGGGAACAGCTCCCGCCCCTGCCCAGCCCTCCCATCTCCCAGGGCTGGCCTTGCGGAGCCCTCGGGTGTGGGGAACTTGTATCGGCCTGGTTCGCATTTGCCCCTTTCGCGAGCCACGTCTGCCTCTTAGGTTTCTCCCGATTTGATTGGATTTTTCCTTTTCCGCGAATTTTTTCGCGAATCCAGCAGGCGGGTGTTAACAAAGGAGGGAGCTGCGTCTGCTCTGAGCTGACCCCTTGGAGAATGACCGCTCCACGCTGAGGGCCGCCTGCAGGGGGCGTCCTGCCTGCCCAGGAGCCGCCCCCAGGCCCGGCCTGCACTCCCGCTGGTCTTCCGCCCGGTTCTGCCCAGTTTTTCCTGGTTCTTCCCAGCTCTTCCTGGTTTCTCTGGTTCTTCTTCTTGGTTCTTCCTCCTGGTTCTGGGCCAACGAACATCGATTTCACCAGCATCTCATGTACTCCCTGGTCTGCCTTTTTAACGACAACTGCATCTTAGCGCCTGTCAACATTTCTTGACAGCGTTCTCCAGGAAAGGCAGAGCTGGGGCACGACGAGGAACTGATCTGCTCAGCACAGAAGTCATCCTAGCTGGGCGCTGGTTTGTAGGATTTGTTGTTTGCTCTTTGGAGAGGAATGCGAGCTTGTAAAATTCTGAAGAGATCTGGGGAGAAACGGTTTGAGCAGCGTCACAGGAGTTTTCCTTCTAGACTGGTCGGCGGGATGACAAACTCCTCGTCTGGGCGTGACGCTGGGTTCCAGAAGCTTCCAGTATAAAACGTAGACGGTGAGCTGAGTGAGGGGCAAGGAGCCGAGGCGAGCTCGGGCAGTCGGGGGATGTCTGGCGAAGGGGCCTCTCTGTGCACCTGCCAGAGGGGCGGGGCGGGCTCGGGCTCCTTCCCGCCCCCCCCCCCCCCGCCCCGGCACCGGACCCTGGCGAGGGCTGCAAGGGGAGCTCAGAGCCGCCCAGCTCACCCCGCGGGACAGCCACAGCTGGGACTGTCCCTGCCCCGCTTCTGGTTCAGGCCTGCTCCTGACTTCTAGAGCTGACCCTGCCCGTGGGCACTCACGTGGGAACAGGAAGTGGTCACCGGGACCCCAACAGGACAAGTGGCTTGGATCTTCCACTGCAGGCGGGGGTTGCCCAGGCTGGGCCTCCCCGGCTCCCCAGGAGCTGGACCCTGAAGAATGTGGGGAGGACACTTCTGGCGACCTGATCAGAACTCAGTTCAGCGCTGCAGAGGCTGCCCCAAGTTCTCCAAGAGACCAGCCCTGCTCAGCCACACCGAGACTGAGCCACCACGCAGCACCTGTGCGACCAGACGGCACTGAACACCACGCAGCACTGTGCGACCAGACAGCACTGAACACTGCGAGAGGGCGAGGGCGCCCCAGCTCAGCACCACAGGAGAGACGGGAAGAGGGGTCATATTGCAACAGCTACACTGCCACCCCACAGACCCCACAGTGCCCGGTCCACACCAGGACCCCACACTGCCCCGTCCACACCCAGGACCCCACACTGCCCTGTCCACACCAGGACCCCACACTGCCCTGTCTACACCAGGACCCCACACTGCCCTGTCACATGACCCTGGGTCCCAGGAACAGAAACATCCAGAATCTGGGGTTGGGACAGAAACCCTGGCTCCGTCCGCAGGGGAGCGAAGCGCCTGGGAGTCCTGGAAGCAGAAACTCGCAGGGGCGGCTCCTGCAGCTCCACACCCAGGCGGGCGCCCGCTGGGGTCCAGCTGCTCCACTGCCCACCCAGCACCACACCCCAGGCAGGTGCCCGCTGGGGCCCGGCAGCTCCACTGCCCACCCGGCTCTGCACCCAGGTGGGCGCCTGCTGGGGTCCGGCCGCTGCACTGCCCACCCAGCACCACACCCAGGCGGGTGCCAGCTGGGGCCCGGCCGCTGCACTGCCCACCCAGCTCCGCACCCAGATGGGCGCCTGCTGGGGCCCGGCAGCTCCACTGCCCACCCGCTCTGCTGTGGCCTGGGGAAGCCGTGCAAGACGGCTCAGGTGCTTGGGCCCCTGCACCACGTGGGAGACCTTGGAGAAGCTCCCGGCTCCCGGCTCTGGCCTGGCCCATCCCCGGCCATCGCAGCATCTGAGGAGGGAGGCAGAGGACAGATCTCCCTCTCTCCCCTCTCTCTGTGACTACGCCTTTCAAATAAATAAATAAATCTTAAAAAACACAGAAAATCTTGGGAACAGAAACACTTGGATACTTTCAGGGATAACAAACATTTGGTACCCTTAGTATTTTTTTTTTAAAGATTTATTTATTTTACTTGAAAGACTTACACAGAGCAAGAGGGAGAGGCAGAGAGAGAGAGAGAGAGAGAGAGAGAGAGAGAGGTCTTCCATCCGATGGTTCACTCTCCAGATGGCCACATTGGCCAGAGTTGCATCGATCAAAAGCCTGAAGTCAGGAGCTTCCTCTAGGTCTCCCATGCAGGTGCAGCAGCCCAAGCACTTGGGCCATCTTCTACTGCTTTCCCAGGCCATAGCAGAGAGCTGGATTGGAAGTGGAGCAGCTGCGACTCGAACCAGCACTCATAAGGGATGCCGGCACTGCAGGCGGCAGCTTTACCTGCTACTCCATAACGCCGGCCCCCAGTATTCTTGGCTATTCTGCAGGAAACTGAAAGATGTGAATGCCGCCAGGGAATGGAACTCTGGGCCCCTGCAGGGCGGAGAGGGAGAGTGCCCAGGGCTCCAGCTTCATCCGGCGTCCAAAGCCTTCCTGGGTCCCTGCAGCAGCGGCAGTCACAGGTGCCACCTGGCTCCCATCCTCACAGCACCCAGCGCAGGCACAGGGAAGCCGGCTTCAGCTGGTTCTTAACGGCCCTGAGGAAGTTGTTCCCTGCGAGGCGGTGGGGGTGTGGCCAGCGGGATGGGCCGTGGGGACCGGGAGCTCTGAATCCAGTGTCCCGAGGCCCAAGCTGCCCCCTTGTTTGCACAGGCACTGGCGACGGCAGCCCCTGGCAGGGGCTGCACAGGGAGGCAGTGGCTGGGTGGGCAGCGCCGGGACCACCGCCACCTGGCCATGGCTCCCCAACCTGTCCCAGGGTCTACACCCCACACTCCCGACTCCCACAGAGGAGAGCTCGCACAGAACCTGCGACTCGGGAGAGTGAGTCCACAGCAGCCCCGCGCCCCTCAGAAATTCAGTGTGGCACATGATGTGTGCAGAACGGAATCGTAACCAGGTCTGAGGTCTGGCCTCTGCGGCAGGCACGCGGCTGTGATGGGCGGCGTTTCCCGTGCGGCGAGGACCAGGGAGCCCATCCCAGGGCCCCCGAGACAGGGCGCAGACAGGCAGCGCCTGGTGGCCGCAGGGCAGGGTTTGCACAGAGGGGCCCCGGGCCCAGGCTCCGAGGGGAGGTCCCGACTGGGGACGGGGCAGCTGGGTCCCACCTGCCGGGTCCCGCAGGGTGGGGGCCGCACCCACCTCTCACTCGCCTCTGACACTTTCTGTTTTGCGAACTTCCCAGATTTGAGCCTGAAAAGCCACAAGCGCTGTCACGCTGAGGCCGCTGCCGGTGCTGGGCGGGGCCTCTGAGGTGCTGGGCGGGGCCTCTGAGGTGCTGGGCGGGGCCCCTGCCGTGCTGGGAGGGCCTCTGCCGGGCCACAGTCGCTGATCCCAGGACCGGGCCGGGCGGCTGCGTCGCCTTGAACAGTGCCTGGAGGAGGTGGGCCTGCCTCCCCCAGCCTCCGGCCGTGAGCAGCGCTGCGCGGTGATGGATTTGGCAAAACGCATCTCGCTTATTTGGATGTTTTGAATTGAACAAGAAGAAAATGAGTCGGTGACTCAGACAGAGCGCTCCTTGTGGGGCAGGCGCCCGTGCCCGGCCTGGGCCCCGCTGTCCTCCGGCCATCGGCATTCCCTGCACGCGCCGGCCCTCGGCCGCCTGTCAGCTGTGCCCGCCGAGCACACACGCTGCATTATTCAGGGCCCAGGCGGCAGCCGCCGCGGCAAATGCTCACAGGCGCCTCCAGGTCAGGCCCCAGGGTCCTGCAGTACCGGCGCCCCCTCCCCTTCTGCACGGCCCCTCCCCGGGCCCCCAGCTTTGTGGTGGAAGGGGGCTGCCAGCCCAGACATGGCTTCCGCAGGGCACGGGTGTCACCCCTGCTGATGAGGTGGTTCGACACTGCCGAGTGGCGGCAGCTAATCAGTATGACCCACACAAGCCACATAGCGCAGGAGGAGCCAGGCGGGCAGCCCAAGCCCCGGGCCTGCCAGACCCTGCGGGCCACCTGCCCCCAGCCACAAACAACCCTCCTCAGGACTGAGCGTGAGCACCACAGCCCCTTCACCCTCTAGGACTGAGCACAGGCACCTCTGCCCCTTCACCCCTCAGGACTGAGCACGAGCACCTCTGCCCTTTCACCACCCTCAGGACTGAGCACAGGTACCTCTGCCCTTTCACCCCCCAGGACTGAGCACAAGCACCTCTGCCCTTTCACCACCCTCAGGACTGAGCACAAGCACCTCTGCCCTTTCACCACCCTCAGGACTGAGCACAAGCACCTCTGCCCCTTCACCCCCCAGGACTGAGCACAAGCACCTCTGCCCCTTCACCACCCTCAGGACTGATCACAAGCACCTCTGCCCTTTCACCACCCTCAGGACTGAGCACAAGCACCTCTGCCCTTTCACCACCCTCAGGACTGAGCACAAGCACCTCTGCCCTTTCACCACCCCCAGGACTGAGCACAAGCACCTCTGCCCCTTCACCACCCTCAGGACTGAGCACAAGCACCACGGCCCCTTCACACACATCCCAGGACTGAGCACAAGCACCTCTGCCCTTTCACCACCCCCAGGGCTGAGCACAAGCACCTCTGCCCTTTCACCACCCTCAGGACTGAGCACAAGCACCTATGCCCTTTCACCCCCCAGGACTGAGCACAAGCACCTCTGCCCTTTCACCACCCTCAGGACTGAGCACAAGCACCACTGCCCTTCACCCCCCAGGACTGAGCGTGAGCACCACGGCCCCTTCACCTCCCAGGATTGAGCACAAGCACCTCTGCCCTTCACCCCCCAGGACTGAGCACAAGCACCACGGCCCCTTCACCCCCCCGGATGGAGCACAAGCACCACGGCCCCTTCACCTCCTAGGACTGAGTGTGAGCACCACGGCCCCTTCACCCCCCAGGACTGAGCACAAGCACCTCTGCCTTTTCACAACCCTCAGGACTGAGCACAAGCACCTCTGCCCCTTCACCACCCCCAGGACTGAGCACAAGCACCACTGCCCTTCACCCCCCAGGACTGAGCGTGAGCACCACGGCCCCTTCACCACCCCAAGGACTGAGCACAAGCACCACTGCCCTTCACCCCCCAGGACTGAGCGTGAGCACCACGGCCCCTTCACCCCCCAGGACTGAGCACAAGCACCTCTGCCCTTCACCCCCCAGGACTGAGCGCGAGCACCACGGCCCTTCATTGAGTAGCCACCCGCAGCTTTCCCGCCTGTGCCTCCAGGAATGGGTGGTGGTGCCGTGTGCTTGGCCGGGGCTGGCAGGGCCGAGTACTCACCATGAGCACTGGGAGTCACTGAAGAGTGGCACCGTGGAGGTGGGGTCGCCAGCTGGGTGGTTACGTGGCGCCTTGCTCCCCGCCAGCCTCCATGGCCGTCCGGAAGGTCAAAGTCCCACACGGTGGCCCTGGGCTCCCACTCCCGGGGGAGGGACCTCGGGGTGACCGTGACGGGGCGAGTGGGGGTCTCGAGGCTCACCCATCTGCAAAGACAGTGCGTGGTCAGAACACCGGGCCAGGGTCCTCCCAGGCCCACTGCCTCCATTCCCAGCCAGCAGGCCCCACCCCCGCCCTTGGCCCTTCTCGGCTGCCAGCCTGTTGGAGTTGCCAACTCAGGGCTGCAGCCGGGGCAGGTGGAGGAGCTGAGTGACCACCTGGGCTCAGGTGCCTCGGGGCCAGACGCTGGCGTCCTGGGGGAGCCGCCTGAGCGAGTCTGAGGACCGTCCTTGCTGTCCATCCCAGGCAGACCTGTCAGCCGCCTCAGGCCGCCCAGAGCCCCACAGAGACCCAAATGCACCTTGAGTTCACCTCCCTGGGGCAGGGCCAGGCCCGGTGGGTGGAACCTTCCCCACCGCTGGGACCGGCCCGGGGGACTGGCGTCTGCCCCTGCAGAGGCCGCCGGCAGGCGGCTGCTGGGTTTCCTTGTGGCTCGGTGCTGTCTGCTGAACTGAAAGTTATCCGGAATCGCTCTCTGGGCAGCAGGAATGGCTGCTGCTGGCCTGGCGCTCTGCCCCCAAGCCCAGCCCTGGGGAGTGGACGCTGCGGCCAGCGGCCCCCTGGCACGTACCGCTGCCCGGGCTCGCGGCTCAGCCCCAGGACGCCGCAGCCCGACTTCTCACCTATTTCGGCAGGAGCGGCTGGAGAGGCCCCGGCAGGGCGCTTCCCACGGCTGGCGAGACGCGGCGGGCGCCCTGAGCTGGGCAGAGCTTCCTCCCCTTCCGAGAGGGCCGCTGGCCGGCCGGCGATCAACAGATTGCAGGGCTGCAGCCGGCGGCCGCCGCGGTGGGCACGGCCCCCGCGCCGGGAGGGGACGCGTGGCGGCCGAGCGGAGCCCGCTCTCAGCGCGCCCCGGGCAGGCGGCTGCCAGGGCCGGAGCCGAGGCGCGCCCGCCTTCCGCGGCGACAGCCGGGGACGCGGCGCGGCCGGGAAGCGGGCGCCGTCACCATGGGGACCGGGGGCGGCGCGGACGGCGGCGGCGCGGTGGCCGGCTCCCTGCGGCAGCAATGGCTCTTCGCAGCCGCGCGGCCGGCCGCCCGTCACACCGCAGCGCCCGGCCGCGGGAGCGGTCCCCGCGAACGCGCCCGCCGCGTCGCCCAGGGGCGGCCCTGCCGGCTGCGGGCTCCAAGGACGAAAAGACGGCGAGGACACCGATTCCGGAGGAGTCTTTTCCGCCTTTGTATCAAGACATTCTCGGATCCGAGCACGCCGGGCGGAGGCCCGGCGTGAGTCAGCAGGGCGGGCGCCCGGCGCCGCACCGAGCGCACCGGCAGGCTCGCCCCCGGCTTCCCCGCCGGGGAGGGGGCCCGGCCGGGCACGCTGGGTTCTCCCCACAGCCCTGGCGGCGGAGGGGCCACGCCCAGTCGGCGTGACCGGGGCCGCCCGGCGGGGGGCGCCCCGCGGGCTCGCGCTCTGGCGTGGCTGCCTACTCCGGAGGGTCCCCGAAGTCCCCAGATCCCCGCCTGGGGTCCCAGGAGCCCGCAGCCGGCACTGCTGGGAGGACCAGGCAGGCGGAGCAGGAGGCAGCGCTGCAGCCCGCTCCTGGGCAGGGTCGCTCTCATGGGGCACTCGGCCCCCCGAGATTGTCCAGCTGCCCAGCGAGCCCTGGTGGAGCCGAGTGGAGACCCTGCAGGCACCCACGGCCCGGCTTCCCGGGTTCCTCACTCAGCACCTGCAAGGAGCCCCTGGGACACCTGTGTGAAAGCTGGGTGAGGGGCAGGCAGAGCAGGGGTCCCCGCCCGGCTCTAACCCCCAGCACCCGCCAGCCTGCCCTGCAGCTGCTCCAGGTGTGCAGTTCAAAGGTGGACACCGTGTCGTGTCCCCCCCATCCCCACCCCAGGGCACCGGGAAGGCCAGAGCTCTGTGCACAGCGGGAGCCGGGCTGACGCGGGGCCTGATGGCCTCGCGAGGTCTGGGCCTTTTCTCTGCTTTTCTTCCTGCATCAGAGCTGCCCCCCCCAGTGAGCGCTGAGGGAGGCACCCCCCACCCTGCCCCAGGGGCCAGCGGCCCCCCCAGCCCCGTGCAGCCGGGCACTGTGGACCCTGGGACTTAAGTTCCATACACTTTGCTCACATCCCGAGTTTTATTCTTCTCTTGATTTCTTCTCATCTTTGGTAACTGGGAACGTCCACGCACAGGGTTTGAGAAGAGGCAGTGGGCTGCAGTGCCCGGGGCCATGGTCTCCCCGCCCTCTGAGAGGGAGGACCGGGTTCCCGGGACAGCCCGGTCGACGAGCTCCCCAAAGGAGCTGGCATGTGGGGCCCTGGCGGCTTGAGCTTTGTCCCAACACAAACCCTAACTCCGCCAGCAAGGCCAGTGGACACAGGCCCCACAGCTCCGAAACCCGGCTTCTGAGGCTTGTGACTCGTGTGTGTGTCACGGGTATGGTTGATCTGCGTGAAAGTCTCTAACCCAGTGTGCACCTGTCTCTGACACAGGAGGCTCTCGGTCCCCCAGTCACAGTCTCTGCCCCCAGAGGTCAGTTTCCTGGAACATTCTACACAGAATCTGGCACCGTCTCTTCGACAAGGTCGCAGATATTAGGGTCTTGGCCCAACCGCCTGGAGCCTGATTAACTTAGGAGGTCTCCTTCCCTCTGGCGTCCCTGGGAGTGGGCAGGCGTGGGGCGGAGGGGAAGGCGTGGCCAGGCTGGGGCAGGAGGTGAGCCCCTGCTTCTCAGAGAGAGGACTCAGCACCCCGTCAATCGCCCAGGGCTGCGTGTGTGCAGAACCTGCAGGCCGTCCGTGGGTACCTGGACTATCCGTTGAGGATGCTGCCTCGGGCTGGGAAGTGGAATCGCAGTTCAGAAAGACCTCAGTGAGGGGCGGAGGCAGCCTGCGTCCATTCGCTTAAAAGAAAAAAAAGCACAAGGGGGCCCTCCTCTGCGCCCGGGATCCTGGGGTGCAGGGAACCCGTGGGGGAGGGGCTGAACAGGTAGCCACAGGGGAGGCAGCTCAGAAAGCCCCTTCCCACCCCACAGCAAGATGGGGTCCCTGGGTGGCCACGCTCCCTAGGCTCTGTGGCACTGAGGAGCTACGCTGGGCGAGGTGGGGGTGCACACCTGTGGAATTCGGCTTCTCTGTAGATGAGGGAGCCCTGGCAGGTGCCGGGGGAAGGCAGGGGACATGCTGTGTCCATTGTCACCACCATGTGGGCCATGTGAACAGCCCCCCAGGACGGTGCACAGCCTGGACGGCACAGCCTCAACGCCAGCGCCGACAGCCTGTAGAAGGCTCCCTGTGCACAGTGGCCACGGCCCTGGCGTGTCTGCAAACGTCAGCTCTGACTTCCCCGCCCAAGGCTGCACTGCTTCCCGATCGCGGGTCTTGGTCCCAAACGTGGGGTAAAGACTGGCACAGACACAGCCGAGGCGTCAGGCGTTTGCCGTTGTAGGGGCCGTTCCAGGCTCCGAATGATTAACCACGCGACCTGATTTTCATGAAAGCATCCAGCCACAGGGGACAGGAGCCAGGATCTCTCGGGACCTGGGCCTCCCAGGAGTGGGTTGGCTCCAGGGGGCTGGGAGCCCTCCGTCCTCGGGCTGTGAGCACAGGGAAGTACACACAGGGAGAGCCGGGTCCTGGCCCACACTGCTCCCTCGGGGCCACTCTTGGGGACAGCACTGCCCACCCTTCCACCCTCACCCTCCTTCCTGCGGCAAGGGAGGGTCCCGCCTGGGAAGCTGGGGGGTGGGGAGGGGCCTGGCACCCAGGAGCTGTCCCTGGTGCTGCCCATCCAGTGCTGAGGCCACCGGTGGTGCTGCCGGGTCCCCGAGGCCCTTGCCCACCCTGTGGGCTTTTGTGTGCACCGAGCCTCCTGGCTGCACCTCCTGCCTCACGGCGTCTCCGCGGGTCCTCCATGTGCTCCTGCCTGGGTCGTCCCAGGGGGCGCAGCCCGGCTTAGCCAGGTGCCGGCTGCCTGCCCCTCTTCACTCTGACCCGGCCCTGCTCCTGTCAAGGATGCTGGTAATTGGGCCAACGCCATTTTACCAAATTAGCTGTGGTCGAGAGTGAGCCGTTCCACCTGGCAATTTTGTTAAAATAATTATTTGTGAGAATTACAATTCCCGAGCCAGTGATTTTCCTGTATCAGCGATCTTGACACACCCCAGGCCGGCTCCCTGATTCTTCATCTTGAAACATTTCTCCCCCTTCCAAAATGTCTTTGAGACTAAAAATAATCTTCTTATTTTTAAATTTCTAATAATTTCTCAGCCAGCTCTTCCAGGAGTTTGGGACAACCTAACGCTGACAGGCTGGGCTGTGGTCACTTCCACCTCCCCAGGCTGGATGAGGACAGCAAGGAGGCACAAGTGTGCACTGTGAGTGTGTGTGTGTACCAGCCTGCAGGTGTACACAGGACAAACCATGATGTATGAGTGTGCACGGTGAGTGTGTGCATGTGTGTGCCAGCCTGCAGGTGTGCAGAGGACAAGCCACAGTGTATGAGTGTGCAAAGTAAGTGTGTGCGTGTGTGCCAGGCTGCAGAGGGCAAACCATGATGTGTGAGTGTGCACAGTGTGTGTGTGTGTGTGCCAGCCTGCAGGTATGCAGAAGTAGGACTGGGAGCGTGTTCTGTGTGTGTGAGGGCACACATGGTGCCCTGGGTGGAGCTGCCAGGGGTGGTGTTGGGGTAAAAACTAACCATCCCTGTCATCCATGTTTTCAGATATTACTTTTATTGACTTTGTATTTGTTGATAAAAATCCATAAAATCAGTTTAAACAATAATAAATTTTTGTAGTTCTGATTTTTATATTTTCTCCATTAATTCCTTACTGTGGCTTTGCTTGCCTTAGAAGGCAGGGCAGGCAGGATTGGTGCTGTGGCGTAGTGGGTAAGCTGGCATCCCATATAAGCGACAGTTCAAGTCCTGGCTGCTCCACTTCCGATCCAGCTCTCCACTATGCCCTGGGAAAGCAGTGGAAGATGGCCCAGGTGCTTGGGCCCATGTGCCCACATGGGAGACACAGAAAAAGCTCCTGGCTTTGGATTGGCACAACTTCAGTGTATGTGGCCATTTGGGGAGTGAACCAGCAGATAGAAGACCTCTCTCTCTCTCTCTGCCTCTCTGTAACTCCGCCTTTCATATAAATAAATAAATCTTAAAAAAAAAGGCAGGGCAGGAAAAGCAACTAAAATCAACTACAGATAAGAAAATCAGAGCCGGCGCAGTGGCTCACTTGGCTAATCCTCTACCTGCAGGGCCAGCACCCCGAGTTCTAGTCCTGGTTGGGGCACTGGTTCTGTCCCGGTTGCTCCTCTTCCAGGCCAGCTCTCTGCTGTGGCCCGGGAAGGCAGTGGAGGATGGCCCAGGTCCCTGGGCCCTGCACCTGCATGGGAGACCAGGAAGAACCACCTGGCTTCTAGCTTTGGACCGGCGCAGTGCCAGCCGTAGCGGCCATTTGGTGGGTGAACCAATGGAAGGAAGACCTTTCTCTCTGTCTCTCTCTCTCTCTCTCACTGTCTAACTCTTCCTGTCAAAAAAAAATCAGGAAGTGAGGCGAAAGCACGTATGACCAGCAGAGAGGACGGTGGGGACAGCAGCCGTGCTGGACGCTACCTGTGAGCCAGGGAGAGCAGGTGGCAGCCCCGGGCTGGGGGCGACAGGCACCGAGGAGCCACGGAGGCTGTGAGGGTGGGGCCCGGGGTGAGGGCGCCTTCTTGGGGACCATGTTGTGAAGCTCAGGCTGTGCAGACAGGAGGCAGAGTCCGCCCCAGCCCCGGGACCCAGCAGGACTGCAGCACCAGCCTCGGCTGTGGGCAGGGGCTGGGGCGGGGCTGGGTCCTGCTAACTTCCGGTCCTCTCCCCCAAGCCCACCCTTCTGTGTGTTTCCGATATCTGCACAGCTAAACTCTCACTAATTTCAAAACACGGAACTCCAAATACTTGACAGCCAGGCTTGTGTGCAACAATTTTCCTGCTGGTGCAGCCTGTGGGGGAGACAGCGAGGAAGCAGCTGGGTGCAGTGCAGGACAGCAGCTCCCTCCGTCCTGGGCTGGGCTCCTGCTCAGAGCCAGCGCCGCCATCTTCCTGACCACTGGACTCCCCGATGGCCAATCAGCTGCCACCTCTGGGTGTCCAGGGAGCTGCTCTCCTGTTGCTCGGTTAACAGACCCTGGAGAGCAGCTTTCTGGGGACAGAGCGAGGTCTGCCCTTCAAGTCCCTGCTTTGGTTCCCGCCTGTTTCTGTTCTCAGACTGCAGGTTCTGGGTCCCGATGGCCCCGTGAGCTCCCAGATCTCCTGCGGCTGTCTTTGGGGTGCCGCTTTGGGGGGCTGGTTAGGAACGTCTGTCACTGAGGCAAAGCTGCTGCCTGTGACGCTGACACCCA